TCTCTCTCTCTCTCTCTCTCTCTCTCTCTCTCTCTCTCTCTCTCTCTCGTGTTCTCTTTCATCTAATCTAATCTTCATACATGTACAGTTAGGTGGGAGTGTGTGGGTCATGGAGCCAGAAAAGGAACAACAGGAGGAAAAGAGGTTTCAAGGAAGGGGTGTGGGGTGTGTACTAGAGCAAGGGTTCCCGCTGAGCAAGCTCTCAGGACTGGAATTCCTGGCTTAGAAGTATTTTGCTGGAGGCAACCAACCCCTGAGCTGCATGCTCCATACACACATGTATGACAGGGCGTGCCTTCTCATCTCTGTCACACTGTTACCCCCACCCTCCCTTTCTCCGCGACCTGGGGACAGCTCAGCTAGCTGGCATTTCTCATTTTATCTACTCGCTATATATTTAGTGCATATTTCTATTTCTTTCATTTCTATCAGGGTTTTTATGTTCTTATCAGGAGAATTTTAGAACATACAATGTCTAGTTGCATAATCTATAAATGCTCAACTCTTTCCTGCTAGCCTATTGTCAGTGAGACAGAGCACTGCATAATCGTTCACATCTGCATCCTGAGAGGTGGGACTTCCAACCTGACACTCCAGCTATGTAAGCATTTCAGGACAGACAGACCTGAGTGGTACCTGGTAGTACAGAGCATGTGCAATGTGGGTGGGCTCCATGCTCACACTTTGCTGTAGGTTCTTCTGACATGGTGTTTCATGGGACCTTAGGATGGTGTTTGGAACCTATCACATCTGTTCTAGACCTGGGGTAGCCAAGGAGGAGAGCAGCCATGCCATTTTGTCTAGTGGCTTATTTGGTAACATTTTCATCATGGCAGTTTCTGGTTGTCAACCTGTTGTGATGTTTGAATGAGAACGGCCCCCAAAGACTCAGATACTTCAATGCTCAGCCTCCAGTTGGCAGAACTGTTTGGGAAGGATTAGGAGGCGTGGCCTTATTGGAGAAGGTGTGTCACTGGGGCTGGGCTTTGAGGTTTCAAAAGACCACACCATTCCCAGTTAGCTTTTTCTCTCTGCCTCATGGCTTTTGTCTCCACATGAAAGCTCTCAGCTACTGCTCTGAGGATATGCCTGCCAGTGTGCTGCCATGTTCTCTGTCTTGATGACCATAGCCTCTACTATCCTCGGAACCACGAGCCCCAAATTAAATGGATTCTTTTATAAGTTGCCTTGGCCATGATGTTTTATCATGGCAATAAAAAAGTAAGTAAGACACATGTGATATAAAAATTCTCATGATCAGGCTCACTCTACCCATTCTTGTCTGCACTTCCCCATCTGTCTCTTCTTATGCTCTGAACACCTGGCCAAACCATCTGTTATTCCATGATTATTCTATCCCCTGGATGCTTGCATTTTCCAGAAGGGGAAAAGAAGGTGCACTATAAAAATCTCTGTCCATTGGGGAAAATGTGTTCCATTTCCCCTACCATCTGCTAGAGAGACTGTGATGCATATATGCTATCCTGTCTGCACCCACATCTGGTGCCGACCAACCTGTGAACGAAGCTCAGGCTCTTTCCATTTTCTTCAGACTGTCCCCAGGGATGTTCCACTCTACTCTGGTGTGAGCTGTGCTGACACAGGATGCTGTGTAGCTAGGTGCTAGGTACCTGGCTCCGATGCCTGCTTCCTCTTTCATCTACACTTGTAGTTTACTCTGGGTGCTCTACTTCCATCCTGCTTCACTGTGCATGCTCATGACTTGCATCCTAACGAGAAACACTGCAGAGAGGCAGGCAGTCAGACACAGGAAGGGATAGAAGCAAGAACATTTTCAGGAGAGAGGACAGAGACAGGGTCTCTAAAGTAAGAGGCAGGGTTGGGGATCCATGACAGAAGAGAGGATCCCAAGAGAAGGCTGGACAATTTGATATGGCTAACTCACATAGTGTACATATGCACTGTAGAGATTCATGATAAGAACCTGATTGGGTGAATGGGATGCCATGGAAGATGGTTAGACTAGAGCATAGCATATGCATACGTGTCTATATATGTGAGCAGTATATACGGAGTAATTTATCCATAAGTCCATACAAAACTTTGACTTCAGTGTGGAGAACACTTTGAAAGGAAAGCAAATCTGAATGCAAGAAGAGGACATTATTGCAATAATCAGGGGTAAAGGACAGTGGCTTGCAGTAACAACAGCTGACGAAACAGCAAGAGGTCATTTAAGAACTGTTTCTGAGGTGGGATTGTCAGGCTGTCATGCCTGCATAGCTGTGTTCGCAACTTGAACAGTTCTGAGATCATTTTTTTTTAAATTTCTGGTCAAGCAACCCAAAGACAGTTATACTTATTGGGAGATCTGTTTAGGACACAGGTGGACTAGAGGGTCTGAGACATCCAAGTCACAATCAAAAGCAAGACTTGGAGCAAGTGGTGGCATGTGCCTTGGTCCCAGCACTTCGTGGACATATGCACAAGAATTGCCGTGAGTTTGAGGTCTGGTCGATTCTAACAGGTTCCGGGCCAGCCAGCACTAGAAGACCTTGTCTGATTGTTCCCCGATATCGAAGGAGCAGTGTTTACAGAGTCAGAGCCTCAGCAGCAGAATCAACTCTAACCATGGGGTAACAGTCACCAGTCAGCAACAGGGTGTGGAGTAATGAGAAGGAAAGATCAGCAACTCCTAGAACCCTACACTTTTGTAGGGATGGGCTGCAGGGGGAGCTAGCAAAGGGCACAAAGGGAGGCAGCAGCTAAGGAGATGGGGAGAAAACAGAGCATGCTTCCTGTGCCCCTGCCCTGTGACAAGCCAGGCTTCAGAGATCCCTTAAATCGGAGCATAGTTCATGCTATTTCTGTGTTCCACATTCATCAGATTAGAAGTCAAGCCCTTGTCCCGTGCTCTCCAGACCGCCAGGCACAATTTCCTTGAGTTTTCTATTTCTCTCCACAGATACTTTGAGAAATGCCTAGGAAACCCCACAAACTTATTACACATTTATCCTTTTAGGGTATGTGCTGGTTAGTTTTCTCAATTTGACATACCATCATCTGGGAAGAGGGACCCTCAACTCAGGAATTGCCTCAGTCAAACTAGCTTGTAGGTGAGACTTTAGGGCATTCTCTTGATTGTTCATTGATGTAGAAGGGCCCAGACCACTGTGATAGCGCCATCCCTGGCCTGGGTTCCATAAGAAAGCAGTCCCAGCAAGCCATGGAGAGCAAGCCAGCAAGCAGCACCCCTCCATGGTTTCTGCCTCTAGTTCAACTTGAGTGCTTGCCCCTTACTGCCCTTAAAGAGCAACTGTGATCAGGACCTCTCCACCCCAGGTTGCTTTTCATCGTGATGTTTATCACAGTAAATGTGGCAGACCAGAGCAAAGTACATGGGTTCGGGTGGTTGCTGTGCATAAGTCACCGTCAATGGAAACCCTGTGTTACAGTCAGGCCCTCTGTCTTCTCAGTTCTTAGCAACCACCTATCCATCTCATCTTTGAGACACTGTCAAACTGGGACCTTTTGTATAGATGAACTCTATATGACCTCTTTGTGTATTTTCTTTCATCTACATAATGTTCTCAACACTCACATGTGCTGTAATGTGTATCCATACTTCATGCTTTTAAAGGACTGAATGAATTCACTTTTGTGAATGTACTGCATATTGTTTATTAAATGTTAGCTGTTGGTAGAACATTCTCCTACCTTTCAGGCACAGTGAACAACGCTCTGAGTATTTGTGTGTAGATGTTTCTGTGTAAATGTTTTAATAATCATATGCAAATTCTGCGTAACATTTTACCTGACCAACTGTTCCCCAGTGGCTGTACCATGCACACCTCTCCATGGAGAGGAACATTAGTTTCTCCATATCCTTCAAACACCATCCATTGTCCATGGTTTCAATGCCAGCTGTCACAGTGTATGTGAATGGTATCTCATGGCAACTCTGACCTACATTTCTCAAGGAAAAACAAGGTTGAGCATCTCCTCATGTGCTGATTGACCATTTAAATGTCTGTCTATTCACTTCATTGTCCATTAAAAAAAACCCCATGAATAGTCATTTGTTCTTTTAAGTTATAAATGTTCTGAACATAAGACTTTTGCCATATATTTGCAAATATTTTCTATTCTCTCTCTCTCTCTCTCTCTCTCTCTCTCTCTCTCTCTCCTCCCTCCCTCCCTCTCTCCCTCCCTCCCTCCCTCTCTCTTTTTTCCTGTGCTAGAAGTCCAAGAGCCTTGCATACATCAGACAAGAAATTTACCACCATCTATATCTTTAAACCTTATTTGTTGGGACAGGGTCTTGTTCCATGGCCCAGGCTGACCCTGGACTCAGACCCTCCTGTGTTACCCTCCTGAGCAGTGGCTGCAGTTGCCACCTTTGTAGTTTTGATGATGTTCATCAGTCTGTCTCCTCCTGACCCCTACGGTCCCAGAGACTCTTTAGATATGGGGCCTGTATCTGTTCTGATAAGAAAAGAGGGATGGATGATGACTCTCAGGGACAAATGAAAACACTGAATTTACAGTTTACAACAGGAAAAAAATTACCTATGTAAACCTTCATTTGTTACATAGTGTAACTTCTGCTGGTATATACAAACTAAAAGTGAACCACAGACGAATTGCCATATAGTCCAGTTAGCTTGACAGCTCCAAGGGACAGAATAATGAATTAAACCATCTCAGAGCAAATGATTTAATATTTGTGCCCTTTAATATATGATTTATAATTGCTCAGGTGTATCTGGAGTATCCTCAAGAGAAACTTTGGAATCGGCTTCATGTAAAGCAGTGCTGTGGACGATTCTAGACTGTGAAATTCTGGCTTTCATATTTAGCATCTTAGAGCAGAGAGACCGGGAGGTGCGTTCTGTAGCTGTTGAGCCAATCCCTCCAGAGGATCATGTTTGACTCACACAGGTATGTTCCAGGGAACATAGGATCCAGGTTCATCTCTTGGAATCTGGAAGGAAAAAACAAATCTGGATGCTTATAACTTAGAAAAATGTTTGTGAATTAGGTTAAAAAAAATAACAGAAGATAACGAAGGTGGAAGCACCACAGGCAACTGGGCCAATGAGAGGTCAGAGAATAACATCATGTGATGTACACAGGTGTCCTGGATCTGGGAGGGACATGGAGAGTTTCAATTCCACCTGGAGAGACTAAGGGACAGCGGAGCCAGTGTCTGTTTCTCCAGTGTGAGACAGAGGGCATTGTGCACAGCATGCAAGGAAGAGCACAGGAGGGTCACACATAAGAGAAGGAAACCAATCTTGTAGCCACAGTAGGGTCCCTGCTGAGCACACACTCCAGATTTCTGTGCTTTTATGTATCAGTATGATGTGTAATTTTTGGTTATGCTCAGGAGGGACCCTATTGTGGGAGGGACCTTTCCATCACACTTTCCCAGCGCCTGCCGTGTGACAATGGACATGGGGTGTAACACAATGGCCTTTATTCTCAGCTTGGTATCCCAGGTTCAGGACACAGCCCCTGGCCTCCTAGCCTGATTCAGATATCCTTGAAAAGGCTCAGAACAAGGGGAAACATAAGACTGAGAGAGCGAACCTTCTGTGCCCCTCAAGTGATAAGGAGATGAGCACACCAGAGACCAAGCAAGGCCAGGCTGAAGAAAAGACAGCCAAGCTCAAGAGCCATTCTGTGCCACTCACATGCCCTACAGAGTTCCTGTCATCTTTTCTTCCATGGAAAAACCGCAGTAATGGGTTAAAGAAACTTGGCCATAAAGCCAAGGGGACAGAAATGAAGAATTTTTTGTGTTATTTTCCCTCTTGGGTGTAGCATACCATTTTTGTGAACTTATCTTCACAGGCCATTCTGATTTTCTCTGGAGTCAGAGGACTACTGAGCTTCCATGGTCCAGAGACGCCTCTCTCCTGCCGCGCTGCCCTCACTGCATCATGGATGGCGAAGAATACTGAACATCCCAGGAACACCCCAGACTCCCCCAGGCCCTGGAGAGAAATGAGCCATGTAGATTATGGCACAAACTGCCCCTCCCTGTCTGAATATATGTGTATATGTACACACAGTACGTATTAATTATATACAAACATAACCTACAGACTGCCATAAGTAGATTGTTATTGAAAAAAAAATAATTTAACCACTGATCTTGATATTCTCATATTTAGGATTCTAGATCAAGAAAATGATTCCAAATGGAGCGATCACATATAAGCATGACGATAATTATTGTATTTAAGAAGTCAAATGCAGTCTGATAGTTTATGTTAGGCCCCAAGACTGGGAATAGCTGAAGCATTTTACCATGTTGCTATTTTATAATTAGAATGGTTAATAAAGAGTCTTCCGTAATCACCATAAAAACACCAAACCCCCAAGCAGACCGATGTCTCTCCACCCTGTTGACATCAAGTGAGCACGGACTTAGACAGAGTACAGCTTACCTTAGATGAATACAGGGTGTTTGACTGTTCAGATGGGGGCAGAAAAGAAATGTGCACCTCTGTGGGAATGTCACAGATGGCAGGAATCTTGTACTGGTTTGGACCACGACTGTACAGAGTGCCCTGAGGAGAGTAATTCAGCTCCTCTATTGTGTAAAGCCCCATTCCTTGAATAAATGCACCTTCAACCTGAGAGAAGAGGAGGCAAAACAGCCAGGAGCATTTCAACAGCATGCTGTTTGTCTGATCTTTGAGATACAGTTTGAGGGGTCTTCCAGGGTGTCTTTAAGAGTGTCCCCAGAAGTCCACCTAGAAACATTTCTATATATCCCATTCAGTGCTAAATTCCAATGTAAAGGACATGGGTTTTAGTTTTGGTTTAGCTATTGAAATGATAACTCCAGATGACTCCTCACAGGGCCTATCCACATACCTTCATTCTTTCAACCAGTGAGGCAACAAAACCCTTCTCTAGCTGACGTTGAAGAGACCCAGCATAGTAAGGAAAGGGTCTCAGGACTGGGGAGCCCCACCATCTCACCGTACACAAGAGTTCATAAGCTTTCATCTCTAGGCTCATTTATACCCTGTAACATGAAGGGTTTCAGCTATGTGTTCTCTAAGCCTTCTCTACGGCTTTGAAATGTCCAAGTTCCCAGACATAGGAACCAAAAGTACCCGGGATGGCTCGTGATGTTTGATAAATCATGTTTGTATGCCACACAATCTTCCAGGTTATGTCACCTCCAACCACTAAGCTAAAATCTTGTTTTTGTCAAACCTCTGTCAACCTCTTCCCTTCTCTTCCCCCAGCTCCATGTCTGGCTCACATATCTTTATTTAGGTTGATTCCCTCGACTCTTCTTCTAACTGAGCATCTTTGTTCATTCTAGTCTACCTACCTGGTCTATACTAAATTCTTCTAATTCTGCCCCCCCCCCGTGTGTGTGTGTGTGTGTGTGTGTGTGTGTGTGTAGATGCCAAGTATGCATGTGCATTGTGTATGTATGTGCACATTTCTGTATATGTGTGTGGAGGCCAGAGATTAATGTCCAGTGTCTTCATGCACTGCCCTCTATTTATTTGAGACAAGGTCTCTCACTGAACCTGGAGCTCACTGATTCCACAAGTTGAGTTCTAGCAAGTTTCAGGAATGAATCTGTCTCTGTCCTGTCCTGGTGATGAGATTACAGAAGTGTGCTGTTATACTTGGCTTTGTGGATTTGACCTCAGATGCCCAGGTAAACACTAGCTACTGCGTCATCTCTCTAGTCCCTGAATCTGGCTTCTGTGGTTCTACGTTAGCCATTTTCCCATTCCCAATTATATGCCACAACTGGAGAGATGCTACAGGGTGCTGTAACTGGATGGTAGCGGGCTGGATCACCCACAGGTGTGAGTACAGAAGCATGTGAAGACTATGAGTGTCCCATGCCTGCCAGCAAATCAAACGTTAAGGTAGAACCCCTACTGTATTTGTTTATTTATTTGAGGCTCAGTTTTAGTGCCGTCTCCTTTGTCTCCCTCAGGCTTCAGGTCCACTGACCGCTTCTAGGTTTGGTCTTGCTTTTCTCAAGCTCTCCAATCAGATTATATACATTTTTCAAAACTACCCCAAGCACTGTTTCTTCTCTTTTTGTAAATGTTAAGAAGACTGAGTTCTGCAGCTGGTCTAAAGAGAAAGATTTTGAGTAAAGGGGCAGAAGAATCAGGTGACCAGCAAGTGGATGTTTCCTCTTCAGACCTCACAGCTGTTTCTGCCTCACAAACAGGAAACAAAGCAAAATAGTTACACATACCTGGCCTATGTCAAGGGCTGGGTTTATGCTGTGGCCAACATCCATCACGATGTCTGTTCTGATAGTCTAGTAAAAAAAAAAATCCATCTTAATATAGATAACTCACAGAGAAGTTGAGAAATATATCTTGCCTGGGTTTAGATAAAGTCTTTCTTTGGACCATGTTATTTCATGATAAAGAAGAAATAAAAATTTTATTATGTGACAAAGTTTATTACCTAAAAAGAATTTTTTTTTGAGATAGGGTCTCATGTAGCCCAGGTTGGCTCTGAATGTAATATGTAGCTAAGAGTAACCATTAGCTTTTGAGTCTCCTGTCTCTACTCCTCCACTGATTAAAGACATAGTCCACCATGCCTGGCTTATATAGTATTGAGAACTGAACTCAGGGCCCTCAGGGATCCTAGGCAAACAGCCACTAATTGAGCTCCATTCCTAGCCCCTATTCTGAATTTCTTTTTTAAAATTTATTCTATTTTATGTGGATGAGTGTTTGTCTACATGTATTCATGGGGCTTTCTCTGCATGTCTGGTGCCCACAGAGGCCAGAAGAGTGTCATATCATTTGAAACCAGAGTCACAGATGGTTGTAGGCCATGCTGTATGTACTAGGAACTGAACTTGGGTCATCTGCAAGTGCCCTTAACCACAAAGCCATGTCTCCACCCCCCACACAAATACTCTTAACCAGATTAAGCACTTTGTTTTCTTTGGAAAGAATAGAATAAAACATTCATTTGCTTTTGATTAGCTTCAAGCTGTGTTATGTAAGAGACTAAATTTAATCTACCACAACAAACAGTGAAATAGCAAGAGCCAGTATCTTTGGCCTTCAAAACCCTTGTTGCAAAACCCTATGGCTACTTTCCAAGCTAATACACAGAATTTACCCAGCTCAGTGACATTTACTGAAACACAGAGTTCAAGAAGTGTCAGCAAAACAAGTGTCTAAACTGTTGTCCATTGCAATAGAGCTTTCATTTGGGGGGTGGGGAAAGAATAAATCTTCCTTTATGATTTGCTTTCCAATAACCTAAAAACGCAGAGAGGAGAAGGCTCTACCTGGATGTTGGTAACACCTCCATCCTCCAACGAATCTATGGATTCTTTGGTATGAATGGTGGTGTCTAAAGTCTAACGTTAGTGAAGGTTCTACTTTCAAAGACATGGGCTTATGGCTCTCTGTCACTGTCTTCTGATAGACAGGACTGGAGAGTGGGTCTGGGTTGTGTGGCAGCTTTCTTCCATGAGGACACTTAATGAACTCATCCATAGTGACAGCCTGGGCCTTTACCTCCCACCAATCTCTGTCAGGACCAGTCATTGTGGCCACTAGGCTATAGCACAGACAATGGCACCTTGGAATAAGGTTAGGAAGGACTGTGACTTCTGTCTGCTCTCACACACGTTTGTATTTTCAACTTTCTTGGGGAAATCAGATACTCTCTCCTCAGGACACAAAGTATCCTTAGGTCATCAAGGAAAAGAAGCAATTCGCTAACAGCCATGGAGAAAACACAGTTCTCATTACGGATGATGTGGTGCAGCTGAGACCAGATTCTCTAGCCCTCGCCTTGAGATGACTGTAGCCCCCACCACATACCTGGCCATAGCCTCATGAGAAATCTCCAGCTAGATAAGCCATGCTGGCCTAGATGCTTGGTCTTCACAGAGGTGGTGTGAGCCAATAAATATTAATTGTTTTCAGATGTTAATTGGGGGGATGAAGGGACTCTGGACAGCTCCACTGTGGCAAACATGGCTCTGGCAGGCCTTGCCCTTCTCTCCCACTCCCTCAGCCTTGCTAAAAACCCTTAGATGACACTCCTGAAGCTAGCCACCAAGGTTTATTCCCCTATTTGGTCACTTTCTCTTCCTTAGGCTGACTACCGTGGTCCAGCTATCAAAGTATTAAAGTCCAGCAATCAAAAGCCCCCATTTGGCTCACCTAATTAACATGCCAAATCAAAACACACTACTACATCCTAGCCCATTCTAACACAGTCCCCCCCCCCCCGCCCTTTTCTCTTCTTAAAAGTTACACCTGCAAGGTCACTGGCTGCTGTTTTTCTGACTGAGTCAGAAAGCAGCTACTTTAACTTTTCTTCCTTGCTTAATCAAGGATTTCTCTGTGAAAACAGGTGTTTGGATGTAGTTTGAGCCTAATCTGGGGTCCTTGTATCAAAAAAACATTTATTGGCCAAGAAAAATCCAATTATACTAAGACAAACAGCAACAAAACCTTGAACCAATACCAGGTCAATTGTTACTGTTTTAAGCTTTAACAAAGCACAAGAAAATCTAAACAGTTATGTTTCCACCAACTTTTTGTTTGAGGGAAAAGGGACTCAGGAATTAGTTAGCATGAGAGAACTCTCAGCATAGACTAGGACAGCTACTCTAACCCAAATCATGCTTGGAGTTGTTAGTCCTTTTCCTCAGTTCTAAGTTCCTCCAAGAGATACAATCTGAGTAAGAATCCAGACAAACTAGATATTCCAGTAGGGAGGGTCAATAAAGGTATATATAATTTCAAAGATAAGGCTGACTATACTTTAAAAAAATCATATGCTGAGAACATACTCATTGAAAAATTATGCATGATAACTGCCTAAGAATATAGACACAAAAGGAATTTAGAACTATCAAAAGCTGTAGCTTGCTTCCAGGTAGGTTTCAGAGCAGATGGGCACTATGTTAGTAGCTTGGTCACCTGACACTTGTAAAGGCCACTGCAATCCCATTTGATGTATCTGTGAATATTTACTGTATAATGACCAATGAGTTAATTTCTTTGCCATTGAGGCCAGGTACAGTAAAGAAGCTGAATCCTTGAAGCTGGTGTGCATGTGTGTTCACAACTGTGACTCGACAGTCCCCCTTAAAGAATAGGATGGCACTTCAGCTATTTAAGGAGAGGGCCCTGGTTGGCCACCGTCTGTCCTGAGGTGGTCCTTGGTACTAGTTAGCAAGCTCTGTATACTTGTGGTGTCCTTCAAGAACATCACACTAAGATACTTCTCATAAGAGGTCAGGATTGCTAGTTGCTATAAAAGCCTACACGGAAGCCCCTTTCAGGTGTTTTGAAGTGGTTTCTTTCCTATTTTCAGCTAAAAGTGGGGAAAAAAACACACAAGTAGAAGGATTACTGTTTCCCATGGAAGGCAATTGATGAGAAATCACACTTAGGGCAAAATGTGTTGCTGTTGTCATACGCCCAGTTTCCTTCCTGTAGGCACCATGTGTGGAGTTTAAGCATCTCACAAGGACAGTCAGAAGACACTTCCCGGTGGAACTGACCTTGTGGTTCCCTGTCAGGCAGTCTATTTCAACCTCTGAGCAGGCAGCTCCAAACACAAAGTATTCGAAAGGATGGCCTTCCCCCTTTTCCCAGTTTATATTCGACTCGTAACCCCTGAAAGAAACAGCAGAAGGGCTGAGGAGCGCTGCTTAGTAAACTGATCAAATCCCAGTCACAATGACGACAAAACCAGACAATGGGAGCTGTGCTAGTCAGAAGCATACATGTGTACAGGGATACACCAGCACGTAACACGTGTTCAAAAATGTGTCCAGTAAACACAGCTTGTTCACTTTGACCTGAGTGGTTAAAAACTCCTACTTATCCTTGAGTGGCGAAACTTACTCCTGAGGTTAGTTTCGGACTTTTATGATTATCCTGTTGCTGTTAGCAGATATTGGATTATGTCATTATATAATTATCAGATTGGAGGATTCAACCTGCATCGTATGCCAAACACGGTTTTAAATGGGGTTTATCTGCCTGCTTTCTCTCTCTGGCTCAGTAAGCACTCTCCGTGAAAACATTTAACAAATGCTTTCCTAGAGGTTGTGGTTCGCAGGGCTCCACAGTCTGTCTCTGTCTGTCTCTGTCTCTGTCTCTGTCTCTCTCTCTCTCTCTCTCTCTCTTTCTCTCTCTCTGTTTCTCTCTGTTTCTCTGCAATCCAGGGGGTACCTATCTTATTTTTTTGGCTTAATTTCAACCTGAAACTCAACCCCTACTGTTGTTTCTTAACTTTAGGAATAAATGACATTGTCAACAAAAGGCCCCTGCTATGGATTCCAAGCACAAATTCCCAGAAAGCCTCAACATGGCCACAATATGACCCGAATCAGCTTTCACACATGAACTATTTTCCCCAGGAAAGGTCTTTCTGGGGACCTGGATTAACTAGAGGATAAAAGTTCATTTTAAAACCAGGCTAATTGAGGGTAACGAGGCATTTTGGGAGACAAAATTGCAAATAGAACTGAAAATTTTCTTCCAGCTCCTGCTTGCTATTTTCCATGACATATGATTGAAGGGGCATTTTTACCTGAAATACCCAATAGCTGAGAGACTGATGCTCTGGTCAAAAGCAGTCTGGGCCTGTGGGAACCAACAGAACATGGTATGATGAGGACTTCTGAGAGAACTGCTGAGAAGTTTAGTTCTATCTGTAGTACGCGTTAAGTAAAGCAACAATGATGAAGGCCCAAGATGGACCATCGTCTGTCCTCAGGCTCCACCTACAGAAGCATCCATGGCTTGCTGTGTGGAGTAGTGGCATTTACTCAGTGCACACAGTTGTAATAAATGTCTGCCATGCTATGTTATGCTCATAACCTGAACTATAATGGCCACCATGTCCTGCTTATGAAGAGATCCATTCGGTTATCTGGAAGGACTTGGGCTATTAACATAGCCAGTTTTTTGAAATAATGGTTGAATGTTTAATTTATATTGTGTATCCATAACAGTTTCAGTTGAGAGCAGTGATTTTACTAAATTGTACCAATGACATCAAATGGTCTCTTGTTTCTGCAAGCACATATGGCTGACTACTAAACAGAAAAACAAAGGTCTCAAGTCTAAGAGAATGGTGGAAGGCTCAACATTATAGCAGAGGTGGGCTATCTGTCATGCAATGGATGACGACATAGGGTGCTCCTGAATTATATATATCTGGATGCTAATGTTGTCAAGACAGCCATTCTCAACCTTTCTCCGTTCAAGCAACACTAGGCAGGGGAAAGACAAAGATGCCAAGAACAGATTGTAAAGTTTCATATTCCGCTTATTATTATTTACATCATGAGCCTTTATAAAATAGCAGGAGCTTTTGGGTGAGAAAAGGATGGCTGAATTGTGCCACCAGAATTCTAAGCATGCATGCTCACACTGAGGAAGCTCAGCACGGGAATCTTTCCAAGCAGAACTCTACATAACACATTGCCAAACCTATGTTTTGATATTGCATAACTAATAATCTCGAGTGGTCAGCATGACAGCTGTGCCAGGGTTGTATGATATGTTCCATATCATCTAACACTTAATAACCTGACATTTTGAAAAGTTAGCAAGTTGATGTTAGAATGTGTGTCTTTTCTTCTAACTAGACTGCCAGTGTATCAGAAGAAGCAGTTCTTATTTCTGGTCTACTGGGTATCTATGATTTGTGTAGATCATAACCCATGGCTTGCTTTCCTGTTTGATTTTTATGTTTTATCTTTATGTGTATGAGTGGTTTCGCCTGAAGGTATGTCTGTGCCTTATGTATGCTCGTGCAGTGCCTGCAGAGGATGGAAAAGGGCATCAGATCCCTTGGAACTAGAGTTAGAGACAGTTCTGAGCTGCCATGTGGGTGTTGGGAATTGAACCCAGATCTTTTGGAAGAGCAACATGGAGTCCTCTTAATCTCTGAGCCACGTCTCCAGCCTCTGGTTTTCCACCTCTAGATGAGTGTCTACGTGAGTATTACAAAATGATCCCAGCACTGTTTTTCTATTTTAGGAACAGTGAATGCAAAGGAAAAGAACAAATAGCTGTTATCCAGAAAGCACCTAGGTTCCACAGGATGAATCATTCATAAATTGTAGCTTAAGGCAGGAGTTGTAGCACGCACACCATCTTTCTTTGTAAAAGAAACATTCGTGGGCACACTACTCCCCCACTGCATGTGGATCCCTGCATGCCATGGGCAGTGGGGCCTCTTAGGCAATGACGGTGTCTTTGAATTGCCCTTTCCACAAACATAATTCACACACACATCTGCCCTTCTTCTGCATCTTGTTAGTTTCTATGATAAAACATAGATAGCCAATGAGTCTCACCCAATCCTTCCAAGTTCCCTGAGGATTCTTGCTGATGATGGGTTCAAGGCGTTTTAGGAGGGTCTGGCAAGCATCCTGTAAATGATTTTAAGTTAAAATTCTAATAATTTAATGAAAAACATCAATGTTAGAACAACACTGTATAGCATCCCACAGAGTTATCTTGGAAGTATATAGGAACACAGAGACATAGGGTGGTATCAAGGCAGTAGAGGATGACATGAAAGGCTGCATGCAAAGATGTCAGTGTATGTGAGCCTGTCAGACATGTACTGGTCTGAAAGACAATTGCCTCACACACTACCCTAGGTCAAGATCAAGACTTAACAGAAGGACCATTAGGAACCACCAACCACTGGTTGTAAAGTATTAATTTTCTGGGCACATTTAAGGTTTCAAGAAGCCAGAGTGACATCAATGGAGAGAGCATCTTCTGAAGTCCCTGGCGAGAGGTAGGTGGCTGACTGAACACAGAAGGAGGAGGATATTGGGGAATAGGGGGTGGAATTACAAGGACTTGCTGCCCAACTGCTGAGTGCTATGTCATCTGCTGAGTCTGTGCCCTGCCCTGCCCTGGATGGAGGAGATGCTAAGAGATGAATGACTCTTCTGTTCTGATATCCAGCTGTGAACTTGACCTGGAAGGGTTAATGAATGATGTCATTGCAGAGAGTTCTACCTTTACTGCCAATCCATTGAGATCTGCCACCACAGATCCTCCAGAGGCATTTGTGTTGGGGACGGTTTCTGTGCTTGTCCCACGCAGGTGGACACTGGACATCGGCATCCTTAATTCCCGGCTGACCACCTAGAATTTTAAACACAGTTTCATTTCAAACACTTTGATTAGTTGCTGCACATGCCTGACTGGCATAGCATGTGTGTGCAGCCTTCATACACATGACAGGGATGAAGGAGCAGAACCACAAATTCCTTCGGGTATAAAATTTCCTTTCTTAAAATCCTGGTAGCTAGACTCCAGGTTTTAAACACATTTCCTTTTCCTTTGATTATGCTCATGTGAAATAACATCAGTAAAAGGCAGTAAACCTTCAGGCTGGTGCAAGGGGAAAGCTTCATCAAGTCTCTGTACTAATGAAATCAATGCCGTTGAGCTTTGCAGAATTCTAGCAAAGTAGACACCACTTTAACAGAGGCTGCATGGTTTCTATGCACAGTTCTGGACACACTGCAGGACCAGAGCACCTCTCAGGAAGGACATGGCCCTCAGTAACACAAGCATCATTAGAGGACAGAATGGTGCTGGGGCTGGGAGCCAGCACGGGACTCAGAGGTTTCTTTAGTCTATCATTTTAGTACTGGAGACATTTTAGTTGATTCAAAATTCACCTCTTTCTAGATAGTAGTATGCTTGGTAGAGTTTTTCCACAGCTTGCCCAAGGACACAGGCATTCTGAGCCCTTCCAAAATGGGTGGTTTTCAGGAAAGCAACTAGACAGAGCGCACACGCTCTCAACATTAGTTCTTTGGCTTAAGTAAGAAATCACTGAACTCTCACTGAAAAGTTGTCACCAGACGACTCTAAAGTATTAGCAGCATAAAACCAAAACCAAAACAAATCTTTCACATCCCAAGGCCCTATAATTTAAAAACATCTAAATTACATCATTGGATTTGCTTTCATTCACCTGGCAAATTATCTAATTTTTTTCAATAATCATCAAATTAAATGTTAGTTTGGGGTAAAATGCTACAGATACTTTATGGAAAACAATTTAATGATATGTGTCAAGTAATTCCAAATACTCGTACCACATGATCCAGGAAACAATCACTGGGAGGACCATGTGTTCTTTTGAGGGCTATTCATTGACTTGTTCAATAACTGGGATGATAGGCAGGCACACCATGCCTGGCAAATGTTAGGATTTTGCACTGTCAGGAAGCAGTGGTCATTCTTTGTAAAGCCAGTTGAAAAAAACACGACAAGGAACAAACTTACACCAGCAACATCTTGGCAATTTTTATTGGAAGAGAATCAGACAAAATAGAAGGACTCTAAAGTAGAACTGCTATAAACACTGGCTATAGATATCAAGTCTGATTTATGTTATTGATTGTTCAGAGTCCTTAATATAAAAAGGGCAAGAAACATTGCAATCCATCAGAATTTACACATCTTTTCACTACCCAGCAAAAACTCAGAAAAGGATACTTCAGTTGTCAATATATCCAAATGGAAGCAGAAAACAAACATGAACCTTCTTTAGCAATAAAACAAGCTTGTCTTTTGGCATATGCTTTTCTGGCATTCAGTAATAAAGTAGACTTGTTTACCCTGTTTTTGCTAATAGCTTAACGTTTAAGCTGTCAAACTGACAGGCTCCTACCCATTTATTTTGGGACAGAGAAATAATGCTCACAGTCTTCTCTCATGAACACACCTGTGAAGATGTAACCAACAGAACCCAGAGCTTATATTCTTACCTGAATCATTTTAGTGTGGACACCCTGCCCCATCTCAATCCCACCATGAGACACCAGTGCAGAGCCATCGAGATAAATGTGAACCAGGGCAGCTGCCTGAGGAGAGGATGAAAAGAGACGACTCAGAGCGGTACTCTGACCAGTCACTGCAACTAAAACACCTTCAGGGATTTATAAAGATAAGAAAGATCTGTAGAACATTCTGGTAATAAGGTAATTTCCACTCTTTAAACCTAAAATTCTACCAAGACTCTACTACTCATATTTGTAAGCAGCCCTAGTCGGTCAGAGTTCAGGAACTGCAATTTGGTCAGATAAACCCACTCAAAGGACTGTTTTCCTAGATCAATTCTTTGCCCACTTTCATATCCACTTGTGACCTGTGGACCACACCTGGAGAACTGCCTCTTTATTCAGCATCCAAAGGTGTGCATTACTCCAGTGAATACACTGAAATCACCACCATCTGAAGGAAGATATATTGACGGTGAATGCAATCTCCGTTTTCCTGGTTCAGAAAATAAGGATAGCCTGTATCTGAGGGCAAAGGCTCATGTACCCAGTGCCCAGATAGTCTCAGGATATCAAGCCATAGTAGTATCTAAGAGCCCTGCAGAGATGTGACAGAGTCAGCTTTCATGATTCCTGGAGACACCATTTCATGTTCCTAGCATTTCTTCCCCAAAAAAGATAAACAGCAGTATCCTCTTCAGAGAGCACAGAACTGGCTGCCCTGCACTGTGGTACCAGATGTGGCAGTCACATCTGGGCTTCACTCTACTACATTTCACTGTACTCTGGTAGGGACACACCCTGAGCCTCCTTTTGAATTGGACACAATGTCTTAGATGTACTATGCACTTGATGTGTTTGATACATAAACTTGTTAGACCAGTGACTCGATTTATTCCATAAGTTTACAGGTTCTATATTTTTCCTCGTTAGCTCTGGTGAATGTGGGTGGAACACAGAGGTACGCTTATTATGTGTGACTAAGCTACAATTACACTGGATTTCATATGTTCTCCTTTGTATGAGCCCGCTGGTGACGGCATTCTGCCTGCTGGTCCAGGGCAGGGTTTTTATCAGAGGTTGCTGAGTAATTTGTTCCACGCAGTGTTGTAAACTCCTCTAGCCATTAAAAATGTCAAATTTGGTTCCATTAATTGGCACCACTGCATGGTTTGCTCTCAGCACCACAGTAGATAATTCTACAAAGCTCCAGCTATAAAACTGGCACAACTGAGCTGAGCCAGATGGTTCTCCAATATAGAGGACTCATTGGCTTGACGAGAAGTTAGCTGTAACCTTAAGAGCCCCTAAATGCCTTAGCCATGCAACATCTGGGCCCTACTCTATGCCACTGTGATAAGCCCTGGACACACAGGGTTAACGATCTACCATCTGCATCCTTCAGGGTTCAAGACTAGAAATGGAAGAATCTACAGATGAGGTGCATCTGAACTGTTGAGCAGTGGGTGAGAATTGCTTATGCTGGGGAAGGCAGCATGAGACAAGAAAGACATGGATCTGGGGTTCTGAGCGCTGAGGTCAAATCTTTGTTCTGCCACTTGCTAACAACCTAGGTCCTCTTCAACCTAGGTGTGCATACATACACATTTAAACAAAGTATTTCCACACATAGACCTGAAAAGTTGATCTCCCCAGGGACAGGGAGAGGAAGATATCCATGCCCTTAAATACCCCTAATTAGGAAACAGCACCTTAAGATACAAATCCCTATGCCCCCCTCCCTGCTGCCTTTTTCCAGAAAGCATTTGGATGAGATCAAGGCCAGCAGGCAGACAAACACCACCAGACCCAGCCTTCCAGGGATCATCCCTAGATCCCTCCCCTGTTTTGCTGCAGAACAAGCATTCTGGATGTGCCTTCCAGCAGCATTCTGTGTGTGACAGATCCCAACCCTTCCACTCAGCCCTAAGTGAAGCTTTTGAGCACAAAGGGTCCACATGGAGACTTTATAGCTCTCAGGATGAAGCTGCAGTGCTAACCCTTTCCTCCTCTCTCCTCAGGTCAGCTGACTTCCACCTCACTTCCAGTCATACAGTGCTTTGAGGAGAAGAATCTCCAGAGCTGCCTGGACCGGAGGGTACCTTGATCTAAATACTACCAACTGTGGAGCAGTGCAGGGAGTTTTTGAAACTGCCTGAACTTTAGTGTTCTCACTGTGAAAATGAAAACACAAATTTTATAGGTTTTTCCTAAGGGTGGAATGAAATAAAATCTAAAGATTTGTTTTAATTTTTATGTGTATGTGTGTGTATGACAGACACACACTGAACACCATATACCACACGCATACTTGTGCACATGCACTTGTGTGCGCACACACACACATGCACACACACTCAGGGACCTGGAGGGGACAGAAGAGGTTGCTAGATCTCCTGCAACTGAGTTACAGGCAGCTGTGTGCTGAACAGCTTAGTTTTTGGGGATTGAACCCCTTCCTCTGCAAGAGTAGCAAAACCTCCTCACTGCTTGCTCAGCCAGCTCTCAGATTTCCCCGAGAGGAAATCTAGACAGACTTACAGCTCAGTGGGTAACTGATAACTAGTTTTCGAACTACCTTTTGAGATAGGTCTGGTGGAGGAGACATTGTACCACGGGCACCATTACCTACAGGCAGTCTACCCATACCTCTGACCTTCAACCCAGGATTCAACAGGATCCATGCTGTTCTCTGTGCACCTGTCTGCTCTTGGACAGACGGCCTGGCTGATCTCTAGGCTAGCTGCCAGCTAGGTAGCAATACATTTATCCCCCACAATTCACTGTTCACAAATCGTTTTCCCAGTATTAGTTTTTTCTTCCCTTTCTTTTCAATAATTGTGCTTCTGTCCTCAACCACACCTCTTGAGTATCTCCCTCGTCTGAGAAAATCTTGGGCAGATGGCTAAGTGGCTTTGTGTTCAATTTCATTTGTGCAACCAGGCAAGGAATGAGAGGCTCCAACAAGACAGCCATGTATAACTGTCCTCTGTGCCTTCATGTACCTACTTTAAGTTGTCTGCAAAGGATGCAGGCTCTAAGGTTGATACCAAGCTCAGCTGGGTTGGTTAGGTATAAGGATAAAGCTGGGGAGAGAGGAAGGGCCTTCCTAACAAGTGCTCATGGTCTTCATACAGCATAACAACAATGAATCCCCATTTCACAGATCCACTCACTCCTGGTTATTCCTCTAGGAGACACATCCAAACATGGAGGAAACATCAAGTGATGTGAGCGTTCTGCTGAGTCTCCGTGTGTGCGCCTCCGTGTGTGCGTCTCCGTGTGTGCATCTGTGTATGCATCTCTGTGTGTGCGTCTCCGTGTGTGAGTCTCCGTGTGTGAGTCTCTGTGTGTGTGTCTCTGTGTGTGTGTCTCCGTGTGTGTGTCTCCGTGTGTGTGTCTCTGTGTGTGTGTCTCTGTGTGTGCATTTGTGTATGCATCTCTGTGTGTGCGTCTCCGTGTGTGTGTCTCCATGTGTGCGTCTCCGTGTGTGTGTCTCTGTGTGTGCATTTGTGTATGCATCTCTGTGTGTGTGTCTCTGTGTATGCATCTCTGTGTGTGCATCTGTGTGTGTGTGCATCTCTGTGTGTGTATCTCTGTGTATGTGTATCTGTGTATGTGTGTGCACCTGTGTGGGGGGGGCAATACACACATGTATGTATAAAAACTTAGATAAGGGGTCTGCATCACTGTTCCACAGTAAGTTAGGATACAGCAGCCCCTCACAAGGTATTACACACAAATTTCATTCAAAAACAGAGGCAAAAACCAAGTAGGATTTAGTAGCTAAGCAAAGACTTACTTAGTCAGCTAAAGAAACCACAGCAACAGCACCCAGTCTTCCCTCTTAACAGTTATGAAGAGAACAAACTCCAAAGACTTTGTTCAAAAAGTTGAATAATTTACTTTTCCAGGTTTAGTTTACCCTACCTAGCAAGGAAGCCACACACTCAGTGCCCCACAACTTCCCATTTCATGTCTAGACACACTGAGTCACACAGCTGGAACAGAGTCTCAGAGGCCTTCTGCGCCTGTCTCTTACATGAACATCTGGGACTCAGAAAATAGTTATCTCAGCTTCTTAGCACCAGAGCCAGGAATAAACCACAGGTCCTCCCGCCCCATTTCCCACCCAGAATGTTTCTATCTAACTGTTAAAATACCCTCAGGTTGTGCAGAGGAGTTCTTGTGTCCTAAAGTAATACAGGTTTTGCCATGCACAACCTGGGTGGGGTTTAACAGCTGGGCAGGGGTATCATATGGCTAATTCAACTTGGGGGAAGTTTCCTTGACACCCTTGATTCCCCAGGCTTCTGCCAGGTGACATTCCCACATGTGTTTGAAGGACTGACCTGTCCCATGGCTACTGAGCCAATACCCACAGGAAACTTCAGGGGAATCATGGCCATTCCCCTCTTCTTCCAGGAATTCTCTGCATTGAACTTTCCTACAGCTGTTTTCCTCTCAGAGTAGAAACACTTGGCCATGCACTCTCTCCAGCACTCAGGGAGGGTCTTGGCGCTGAACTCTTGCTTGTAATGGGTATTATCAACTTGTTTGTACATATTTACGATTCGAACCTATGGAAGGAGATATTAAAACATGAGAGAAGCTCAGAAGGCAAAGTCTTGTCCACCTACTGTCCTCTTCCTCCACTCTGCCCATCCTAAAAGGGTCATGCTGGGTTCTACCCAGTTATTGATAAAGGCATAGCATCCTCTTCATCCTTCACTCAGAACCCCGATGGACTATGTCAGTCTCACTTGTTTCTGTGCTGTTCCTGTGTCAGTTTATAAGGTGGAATCCTAAACATCTATTCCTGTGACTCTCAGTATGGTCCAGGTTCACTCCTGACTCTCGGTTCTTGTGAGCTAAGCAACCTGGTTTGTGTAGATGCTATGGCAAGATAGAGCTACTTACTCCCAAAGCAAACCAATAGGAATATTTGTTTAAATATAACCAATGGCTAAGGGAAAGGACAAGTGAGATTACTTTTAATTTTTTTTGAGAGTTTCATGCAGGCATATTAAGAATCTTCATTGTTTTCAGTATCTGATTCCCTCTTTCATGCCCCCTCCCTAGTCCCATGGAAACCCTTCTTCTTCCCAGAAAGCTTCCTCACCTTTGTTTTTGTGGTATGAACTACTATATATAATCGGGATCCCTGTGCAGACACAGGTGGGACGTTATTTTCTGAAGCATGGGCAACTGACTAATGGATACACCACTGAAGAAAGTGACTGCCAGCAGCCATTAACATTAGTCCCTCAAAGCAGGGCGGAGCCTCATGAGCTCTCTCCTCTAACCTCAATGGCCTGTTGGCTGGCTCAGTCTTGGGTAGATCTCACGCAGGTAGCCACAAATGAGAAGATTCTATCCCCAGATGTGCAATGCCCCATAAAGACTGTTACAGTATTCCCAGAATTGGCAACTAAGGTCTCTCAGCAGAAAGCAAAAGACACCAACTGCCTCAGTTACAGCCAGCTCCCTCTACAAGCAGATGGAGGCCATTATAAACACACATCTTTCCCAAATCACTCCCCTAGCAATTGCTCAGATCCCTATAAGAGGGAAAGTAAAACTTGATGCAACATGCCATTCTAGGGAAAGTAGATTTTTAAGAGACTATTCTGGACAGAAAGGGATGTCTTTGTGTAATTCCCCCTTTCCTTTCTGCTGCCAAACATAACAAGGGTAGAGGCTGTGGTCAGCGATGGGGACAAGGCCCACTACAAGTTCAAGAGACATAAAAAAGATAGCTCCTACCTCTGGTCTGAACTGAGGGAGCAGGAGGCCAAGGGGTGTGGTTACGAGAGGTACCGCTGCATGAAGTCCATTTGCATAAGGTGCCAAAGAGAGTACGGCATGTGAACGTGTGTGTGTGTGTGTGTGTGTGTGTGTGTGCACTTGTGCACACACTCCAATCCATGCTCTGAATTTTTAAAAATATTACTTTTATTTCATGTGCATTGGTGTTTTGCCTGCATGTTTGTCTATGTAAGGGTGTCAGATCCCCTTGGAACTGGAGTTGCAGTTGTAAACTGCAGTGTGGGTGCCGGGAATCGAACCCCAGGTCCTTTGGAAGAGCAATCAGGGCTCATAACCACTGAGCTAACTCTCTAGTCCCTCCAATTTATGTTCTTAAAACAGTGTTTCCTCAATTTGTTTTCTTTAGTGGAGTATGGGTTAGGCAAGGAGCACTACACGTGGTTACTGACTCTGTTAACTAGTCGACTGTAAGCTCAAGGACATGATTTACTCTCTGGATCTCCTCTCTAATTCTTTAACCTAATGGTCCCCATAGCCTTCCCAGCTCAGATACTCAGCATCTTTTATACATGAGACTGGAGTAGGGTTACCTGCTCAGGGGACAGGCCACATTTGATGGCCACTTCTGTGATGCAGGCTTCGGTGACCAGCCCTGCCTGAGGAAATCCAAACCCACGCAGAGCAGTGTTGGATGGAAGGTTGGTTCTGCAGGCCCAGCCTCGGCAGCGTAGGTTGGGAAACTTGTAAGCATTGTCCATCTTCAGAAGCCCCATTTCTATCACCTGAAGAAACACAGAACCAATGTGAGTGATGAACTGATGGCTTCTTTGCATTTCCTAACCATGCAGACACCTCAGAATGAAGCCAGGCTGGAAACAGTGCCTCTCTTTATTTCTCAGCAAAAAATGCCGAAAGACCTCACACACCAATTAGATACATTCTGCTGTAAGATAATTTTAAAGGATTTGAATTATTCTCAATTACTACCTTTAATTTTCAAAGCTTGGCCTAGTGCTCACATCTAGGTATGGGAAGCAGACACACAAACAAAGGCTTTCCAGAGATCTCTGAGCTCTGTCTACCTGTGATCTTCAGGAACTCTTTGCTATCCTGCAATGAGTCCTTTATTAAATGCTATGTAAAGAGTGAATATTTCCTGAGTTGAATCATTTTATGTACTACTCTCTGAAGAATGAAAACTTCCTCTAAAACACTTACCCACAGTGACTCATCCAGGGAGCACCCTGCATTGCAATAGTGCTCCACATCCAGGGCCAAGATTCTGCCGTCGTTCATGAATCCAGCCTGGGGGAGAGAACTGACTGCTGATACTGGTTCAGGAGGTCAAAGCTGGCTTATTTGTACTTTGGAAAAGCTTCATGGAGTTAGATTTGACAGCTGTTTCTTGGACACAGAGCTGACTTAGTGATACTGGGAAGACTCTATGTGATAGTCAGTGTTTAAAATTATCAGCTTGACAGATCTAGAATTGCCAATGAGCAATCCCAGGGAGGGATTGTCTTGACTGGGTTAACTGAAGCAAGAAGACCAGTCTTAACAGTGGGTGGCATCATTCCCTTGGCTTAGGTTCTAGGCTGCATCAAAAGAGAACAGAAGCTGGGCACAGCTCTCACAGCAGGTGCTCCTTAGATAAATAATCAATGCTATTTTATAATTAATATATCAATATATAACTATATAATATAATTAATCTCTTTTCCTGTCCTCACACTTCTCTCCATCAGCGACCATCGCTGCCATAGCAATGTCCTCCACAACTATGGTCCAGTCTTTTGAGTGAAGAATCATTTATGTGAAACACATTTCTGTTTCAGTGTCCTGTTTTCATTTCTCCCCCAACACTTACACAAACAAGATCATTTTCTTTCCAGAATGCTCACTGCTTCCAGACTGTTTTTCTTTTAGAAAGCTCCAGGCTGTGTTTTGTGGCCTTACTCATCATGTGATGCTAAGTTTTTCAACAAACACTATTTTATTTTATACAACAGAAGCTCTGGAGCCTGTCTGCTCCATAACGCACAACTATGTCTCAGACTCAGCTCCTTCCTGTCTGTATCCATCCTGCCTCCTGAAGGCCACCTACTCCACACTCACGCTGCTAAGGCCATCCTATCCACAGAAGTCATGTCACCCTCCTGTAAGGGTTCAAGCCCAGTCACAGCATGTGACTAGCCAACAATCTACTCAGTATTGGGGGATGGTTTTATGTACTGTGTATGCAGATGCTGATTGATGAGCCCAGAGATCTGGTCGCAGCCTGGATGTTGGCATTGCCATGATACTTAGAGCATCTCCTGTCTCAATGATGTGTAAAGATTATTTTCCATCAACTGTGATTGGTTAATAAAGAGCTGATCAGCCAGTTAACTGGGCAGAAGAGAATAGGGCAGGACTTCCCATCCCAGTCAAGGGGCCCCAGGCAAAAAGAGAGAGAAGAAGGGGAGGAGAGAGAAGGAAGGAGGATGGACCAAGAAGAGAAAGAGCAAGAGGATTAGCCATGAGGATGCCATGAGAGAGCAGCCATGAGGAGAAAGAAGAGACGTAATAGGAGGATTTGTCATGAGCAGATCATTACAGGACAGCCATGAGGACACACATGGACCAGCAAGCCAGGGCAAGACTCAGTTGCAGATAAAAGACAATGAGGCTCGGAAGCGCGCAGTTATGGAGGTTTAGAATAGGCGAGTAACTGCCCAGCATAGTGTCTGCAGCTTGTTAATACATTTATTAGGTCTCTGTGTCATGTCACTTATTCAGGAGTTAAAACAGGCTAGAATGGGCATAAAAACACCTTGTTGTCATTTGGTAACAAGTGGGGGCGGGGGTGGGGTAGAAAAGCCCCAGAATTACATCTGCAACTCGGTCTCACTCTTTTGTGTGAAGTCAAATTTAAACTCCTCATTCTGTGGCTCTAAGCCTTCTTCAGGCTGGCATCTGGGCACACAAAACTGCGTCTCCTAGCTATCCCCACAGTAAGGTGGCAAAGTCAGTCCCAAGATGTCTGAACAGAAGCAAGATCTACCACTGACAGGCTCGGCACCTGATAGATTATCTGTATCAGTATTCCCTTGTCTATTGCCTGCCGCAGAAGGCTGTGTGGAGGACTCAGGTTCCTGCACAGATTCCAATAGAACTTCTGGGGATGATGGCAGTATTCCATGTCACACAGTTATAGGAGGGCACTGTGTACTTGAAATATTGTTAATGAAGCTGAACTGCATAAACGTAGTTTAATTTTATTTTGTTAGTTTAATGCAAATTTAAATAATTGTACATATCCAGTGGTTATTGGATAGCACAGTCTAAAGGCATAAAGGTGCTATTAAAAAACAAGCCCCTGGATGACTGAAGCAAGCCCTCCCCTCCCCCAATCCATGCAAACTACAAAGCTCCTACCTGAATGAGAAGTAACAGAGTAAAGGTTTAAGATCCTGAGAGATTTGGGTTATTTTTTAAAGCCATCAGCCAGCTTTAAAATGCAAAATAATCTCTTAAAAGGCAAAAAAGATAATTATTTTCTTCTATGGAAACTTTTGTAGAAATTTCTGGGTCATAGGTTTTCACAATATGTTTGATATATTAAAAAATGAGGAACCATTTGCAAATAATTACAATTTTGTATAGCACTATTGTTATAGGAATTATTCTATTTTTACCTTTTATGTGTGAAAAGAATGGTTATCAGATCGACTCTTAGGAACACACAGTCACATGTTCTCCAATCATTCACTCTGTAAGGCTCAATTCTAGCTAGTTCTTTCTCTCAAACTGGCATCGCTGAGCAAAGCAGGAAATCTCATTGAACGGGGTGGTAATTAAACGGGAGCATAAGAAGTAGAAAATCTGACTACCATTTGTTTGGGCTGGTTTTTATGTCAATTTGACACAATCCAGAGTCATCTGAGAGAAGGGATCATCAATTGAAAAAATGTCTGCATAAGATTGGGCTGTAGGCAAGCCTGCAGGGCATTTTCTTAATTAGTGGTTGATGTGGTAGCGCCATCCTGGACTGGTGGTCTTGGGAGCTATAAAAAAGCAGGCTGAGCAGACCACGGTGGAGCTAACCTCTCCCCCCTGACCACCAAATCCTGTCCCCAGGTTCCTGCCCTGTTTAAGTTTTTGCCCTAATTGCTTTCAGTGATTAACTAAGATACGGAACTGTGTGTGAAACAAACCTCTCCTCCCTAATGGTGTTTTATCCAGCAAGGGAAACCTGACTAAGACACATTTGTTGATGTGTTTGTTGTTCTTTCCCTGTCAGGGTAGCCACACATTGCCATCTGCCCTTATGAATGCTCTAATTGCAACATGAATCTTTTCCTGGCTTGTTCTTCTGCTCACTTTATATTTTCCAAGGTAAGGATGGCGGCCCCCAGTTATTAACATGTCTTCTCCTCGTTCCAGAATGCAGCGGACTGCACGACCATGTCTGAAACAGAAAATAAAAATGAATCAATCAAACATACGAGCTAGCTGTTATTCCACAATCATATTATGCCTTCTAGGTGTGTTGGCTCCAAAGTCAATTTCCGCTGGTGAGGTTTTTAAATCCTCACTGAAAAACAGTAAGATAAATAAATGTCAACCTAACCCAAAAAACATCCACTTAATTCAAGAGAGAGGAAAGACAGGGAAAGACAGGCAGACAAACAGACACAGTCAGGGAAGTACGGGAAGAGAAAGAGAGGCTGATTGATTTTGGGAGATTAAGTGAGTTACATATCTGATTCATAAGCATATATCTCAGACCATCAATGGTAAGGACAACTCCACCCACACGGGATCTGTTGACTTTCCAAGTATTGCATATTTTATTCATTTGTTTGCTTGCTTATCTATATCTCTATCTCTCTCTGAGACGGGGTTTCTCTGCGTATCCCTGGCAGCCCTGGAATTCGCTCTGTGGACCAGACTGGTCTCTCAAACTTGCAGCGATCTTCCAGCCTCTGCCTCCCAAGCACTGAGTTGAAAGGCGTGCACCACCACTGCCTAGCCCATGTATTATAGCATTTTTACAATTGCTTTCATCATATTTTCAATGATTGGTACTTATTTTGCTTCCTGTAGAACTTGGCAACAAAAGACAAAGAAGTTTAATAAGTTGGCATCTCGCTCGAGTGCTGGTTTGTAACGTGTGATCTTAAATAGCCTTAGTCTAGATTCTTCCTCATTCCACATCCTATTATTAAGATTTCACTTTACATTCAGTTTAACAGATTTCTACCACTTACTTGCTGGCGGCGAATGCAGTGATGGCTGCCAAGATGCTGGTCTTGCCCACCTTCCCTCCAAACGCCCCGCCAACGCGCCTTACATGACACATGACCTTGTTGACTGAGAGCTTCAAGGTTGCAGCAACTATATCCTGTCGACGATAACAGTTTTCATCGATCCGGCCCATCTTCAGCAAGACTTACGGCCATCAATGTCACACTCACAATCCTAACAGGAAGCCTGTCCCCTGAGTGTCACAACTATTACACATTTTGTTTCCATGATGTTGAACATGAGACACAAGCCATGTGGTGCATATGGTTATGATAAATGACAAAAAGGAAAAGTGTCCAATACCCTTACCATCACCAACAACTATTCTCTTGGCTAGAATAACATTGCTAAAGCCACTGTTAATATGAACTAGATCTTTCCATAGTGGTGAGATAATTCTGTGCCTGCTAGAACCACAGCTAGTGTATCCTGTCCACAATAATCCCTCGAGTGATGTTTCCTGAGGCAGTAAGATGCTGTGGCCCTGAGCCTCTCTGCTTCTCAAATCCTTACTAGGTTACTGTGAACACTGGCCAATCTTCCCAGGATGTGGGTTCCTGTTTTGGTCATCCCATCTTAACCAGCTTTCAGTGAGGGGGGGCCCATTGTTACACAGCAGTTATCTGGTCCCTCTTGGTATGACTCCTTCCCCAGTGTTGCTGTTCCCGTCCTCACACTCCTCCTCTGGCTCCGTGGTACCCATCACATCCAGATCCCTTCACTTTGCTTCCACACCTTTCCCTCAATGCTTAGACCAGTTCAGACAGGCTTCATCTCCTCTCTTGCATACGAGTTGCCTGAGACACAGGATATAGGCAACAGATGTTTTTAGGAGAGACAGGTGGGTAAATGAAGGAGGAGTTTGTGCTGTGGAACTGCCAGGGATAGCCAGCCTCTCTTCCACCACCTGACCTCATTGTACTATGGAGGCAAATGAAGGCTACTTATCTTAAGGTTCTTGGGTGATTCTGACCCTTACATACTCTCCTTTCTCTTAATTCCTCCACTCATGTCACTTTTGACTTTGCTGGTTTAGTGCCTTGCCGATTCTGTTTCAATACGGTTTCCTAGCTGCTTCTTGTAAATGAGGTACTATCAGCTTCAGGGGACGGGCCTTTACCATTTTCCCTTTGTTTCTTAACAGCCAAGAGGACATAAAGAGATGTCTGCTGGTTGCATAACTGATTTAAAAGCTATGGATCCACAAGCAAAGACTTCTCTCTAATAAAAATAAAAAGCCCTCTTCTAAGTTAGGAAAGTCTAGGGTTGTTAATATCCAATTGTGCATGAGTATAAGTACTTAATATGCTGTTGCCTGTAATTGTTCTTAAACATTTTGCTGTCAGAAACCATTTAGCCATGTCCCTGCCTCAATGACCCCATGTTACCTGTATGTATCTGGGGAACTGTGTGGACACATAGATGTCAATCTCTCCATCCTCTCCTTTGGGAACAACAAGCATGCTTTGGGTTTCCATATAAAAATGTTCCTGGCCGCCTATGTGTATCTCACCTGTTACAAGAGAACACGCAGAAGTCAAATGCCAACAGAGACAGCAGGTCATTTTTCCACCCTTTGTCCTCCCTTTATCTTGCGGCACAGAAACTCCACGGACTGAACTCTATGCCACACACTGAAGGATGACAAACACCAATGTTTAGCTTTCAGCTGAAAGTAGAGTTGTAGAAGAAGCTTTTTGTCCCTGTCAATGCGTGTAGCAAGAGCCCTGAGGAAAGACGTCTGAGTTTCTGGATTCAAAATTCTGTGACAAGGAGACTTCTAGTTTCAAGATGGGGTGGAATATTGTGTTCCTCCCTGTTTCACCAATTAGATCTGTCTAATCACTTGACTGTTAAAAATAAACAGATCCAAGAAGTATGATGGTTAATTGTGCAAAATGGAGTTATTCATGTCATGTTCAACAAAAATGGCGTCAAGAGGCCACAGGAGCAAACACCAATTGTGTATACCTGTTTCAAAATGGTCTCTCAAGCTCAGTCCAAAGTGACAAGTGCCTAAGTGTAACTCATAGATATATCTTATCTACCAGATATTGAGACACACTAGTCAGAATGTGCCTGTGTTCTGCCAATGGTGTTGTCAACATCACTGGGCCTTCTTAAGACAGAACTTGGATAATCTTTTCTTCACCAGTAAACCCTAACCTTTTCCTTTGTTCTCTGGGTAAGAGAGTAGCTCTTTTCTACATGAATCTCCTATATTGCATTTCTATTTCTTGTATATTATTCCCAAAGAAATCAATTCATTATTCTGTCTGTCTCTGTGTCTCTGTCTCTCTCTCTCATTAAAAACTGACAAAAGTTCATGAAAGGCAGAGAAAAAAAGCAGAATGAGAAGGGACATAGGATACAAGTAAAGAAGCCCCACTAGTGGTTGGCTTCCAGAGTTACTGCTATTATACATCTTGTGTGTGTCAGTCTTGGTTCTAGAGAAGCCAGAAGATCTCAAAATATCCACAAGCAAGTTCTCTCTCTCTCTCTCTCTCTCTCTCTCTCTCTCTCTCTCTCTCTCCCTCTACCCCCCTCCCCTTAAGGTTCCTGGGTGATTCCGACCCTCATACACTCTCCTTTCTCTAAATTCCTCCACTCATGTCATTTTTGACTTTGCTGGTTTAGTGCCTTACCACGTCTTTTTCAATATGGTTTCCTAGCTGCTTCTTGTAAACAAGATACTATTGGCTTGAGAGGACAGGGGCCTTCCCACTTTCCCTTTGTTTCTCAACAACCAAGGGGACATCAAGAGATGCCTGTTGGTTGAATAATTGATTTAGAAGCTACGGGAAACAGCCTCATGAAAGCCAAAGGACCAGAGAAGCCTAGGAAGACAGAACCAGATACCACAGAAGGACCTGTAGCCCCACCCCTACCTGCAGAGGTTGAATGGGGAGCTGAGATTCCCAGCCCTGTCAACTATCATGAGTACACTGTCTAAAGTCTTTGTTGGGCCATGTGTGTGGTCCCAGTGAGAGAGCTGTACTTTCAACTCATGTGGCAGTAACAAGGCACCATCCCAATCCTCCTTGCACACCTGCACCGGTAAGTTCTAGAACAGAAGATGTTACTAAGAGATATACTATTATAAGACCGTATTCAAAAGATCACAGAGTCTATAACAAGTCAGTCCAAGAACCAGGAAAACATCAACTTCAGTGAAGAAAGACCAACACCAAAATGGCACTAATGTTTGGATCATCTGACACTGGGCAGCTATCATAAGAATGCTTCAACGAGAAATAATCAAAATGTGGAATCTTAACAAGAGAAAGATATAAGCATATCAAAAGGAAATTCTGCAACTGGGAGACTCAAGAGCAGAAATAATTAATGAACAAGAAAAAGAATCAATAGGCATGGTGGTACACTCTTTTAATCCCAGCACTCGGGAGGCAGAGGCAGGCGGATCTTTGAATTCTAGACTAGCCTGGTCTACAGAGCGAGTTCTAGGACAGCCAGGGATATACAGAGAAACCCTGTCTCAGGAAAAAAAAAACCTGATGATGATGATGATCATGCCAATCTCAAAAAGGTAAAAATTAGAATAAAAACCAATGAAACCATGTGCTAGGAAGAGGGAATCTGCTGCTTGAGTCACTGAAATCAAGCGTTTGAAAAGTAATGGCCAAATACTTCCCAAACTTGGAAGAAGATATAAACCTACAGATTGAAGAAGCTGAGTGACCCCAAACTGGATGAATCCGAAGAAATCCTGGGCACCGTTGAATTTCAAAACACAAAAGACGAAACTAAATGCTACCCTGAAAGCTGCCAGCACCTGCTTTAAAATTTTAAAAAAAAAAAAAAAGCCTTTCTAAGAGGACTCGATGTGTCCCCGGTAACCATGGTGACCAGAGGAAGCAGCACAAAACTTTCTCATGTAGTCACCTCAAAATTATGTACGTGGTGACAATATCCTTCAACAATGAGCAACAGGGCAGGCTGAGGAGGGATGAGAAAAGCTGTTTCTGGGCTCTCCACACTGCCTGTAGGTCTAAGGTACTCATTCTCCAGGAGCAAGATCCACTGAGGCTGTTAAATGGTTTCTAGAAGGCAAAGGAAGCCCTCGACTAGACATGCCCAGAAAGCTGCCTGCTGCTCAGTGTTGAAGAAAGTTTTACCTTCAAGAATTTGATCGACGATTTTAAATGCTTCGTCGACGTTCCCACACTCCAGCTTCCGTTCTGACTCAAAGAAGGACTTGTGTTGTATAGCTTCCTGGAAAGAGAACAGAAAAGTGAGGCAGCCTTGATCAGAAAGCCTGCCTCTGGGAGTCCCAGGTCCTGTGGGAAAATCTGGGTAACAGATTTCTCATGTGGAGTCCAGGTTCTCTCCCCCTGGCGCTGGGAAGCCAAGCTGAAAGTCAAGCTTCAGAGATTCTCCAAGGAGAAAATGCAGATGTACCCAGTAATTCTAAGCATACTGAGCCTGCTCAGAAAATACCCACTACTAGGGGATACAGAACAGAACTATTGTTTTCCAGGCTGACAATTCTCTGGGATTAATAACCCATTTCATGTAGCCAAGGCCACTTAGCTGACTCAGACCAGACAGAGTTATCTATCCATGGCCACTTCCCCACTTCCTAGTGTTTGACTATAAGCCTCTCTGAGCATCACGTGCAGGCACAAAAACAGCTTACTGTGAAATGAGACAAGGGCCCTGTGGCATAAATATCATATACACGCTAGCTAAAACCACTAATGACTGGGTCACAGGCTCTGCCTGCTAAACTCCTGCTTCTCCTTCAGGGCTCTGAGCATTTTATTTGCACAGGGCACTGGAATGACAGGGGCTGCCTGCCCTGGATTGATGGTTCACATGTGGCTTGCCTGGGCACCACAAGTCCATTTACACACTGGCTTCCCTGGTGTCCAGTTGAGAAGTACTTCAGTAGACATGGTCAGAGGCTTCGACTACAACCCAGTCTCCTACCAGCATTCTCTACCACAGGTTACCAGCCATGTGTGAAGCTGCTGGCAGTTGAGGGTTCTCCCAATTCCAGATCCCTCTGGCCACCAGAAGCCGAATAGAGGCCTCCTCTCCATGCACTTCACAGATACTCTTCTGTGATTGTGCCATTTCCTCTCTGAAGGGCTATGATCTTTGGTGGAATGTTTGCTCCATGCCCTTGGGGAGCCCTGTTAGTTTCTGGTGGGGCTGATAGTTGTCTGACCTCATAGGATTGCTGTGAGCACTTAGTGAGGTAATGTGAACCCAACTTAACACCAAGCCAAGCATGCATGCAGAGCGATGTCCCTACATTGACTATTGATCACAGATCATTGCTGCTGATGGTTACAGACAGGCTCTGAGAAGGACACTTTTTTTCACACTTGTTCCCTGAGTCTGAGTAGACTTTCTCCCTTCATAGCTCTAAGAAGCAGAAGCTGGATGAAGTCTTCAGTTACTGACGCAGATTATTTGTTTGCAGCCCCTTTTGCTGAGAACATTCTTTATACTGAATCAACAGCTCATCAGAGAGCAATGTGTGGAGAGGTGGGTGAGGCTCCCTGCGAGAGTGGGCAGGTGAGTGGGCAGGAGGGCTTAACCTCTAACCAAAATGAGAGATCACACTTTCATGCAATACCAATATTTAATGTTTTCTGGCAAGCAATTGGGTCTGTTGGTCGAGGCAGAGCTAGCAAGGAAAAGTGCTTATGTGCAACTTTAATTTGGCTGTGAAGCAAAAGAGGGGAAGTGGATATTTAGTCACTGATAAAAATTATAAACAAATATTTGATGAAGCATTCATTACTCATGCAATTCCTTTTAAAAAGTAGTTATAGCTCTAAAGCAGACATTTCAGGGAAAGGACAGACAGCATGAGATGAGAGGATGAAAGATCCAGAAAGGAGAAAGGAGATTTGGGTTGGAAACTGTCTAGAAAACAGCAATATTTCTTATTGTTGTCTTCGTGATATGATTTTATTTTAATTTGAAAACATTAAGGGAACTTTCCAGAACTAAGGGCCATGTTCCTAGGAATAACACACCACAGGAAACACACCCAAGTCCAAGTTCTCTTGGAGACACTGATCTTGGCCAACAGCTTTCTCATTTTAGGTAAGACGACCCACATAATGTACCTGTGGCACAGAAAGGCCTCTGCGGGCAAGGAGGACGCCTGACAGACCTGCTCCTGTCATCTACTGTGGCTCCCTCTCCCTTTCTGAGAGGGGCTCACCATGGAACATGGATAACGTGTACAGCCTAGAAACCTTGCTTGTTTCATTGATATTTATGCAAAGGACACAATTCAAGGGTCAAGGGGATGCCCATTGGTGAACACCACCATTTTGTGTCTTACTGCTTCTGTAACTTTTTGACTTCTGTAAAAAATTAGGAGAAAAATGCAAGGCTCCAGGGTTTGTATGTTTTTGTTGTAGTTGTTGTTGTTTAGTTGCCAAAATTCTGTAGGCATCATAGGATCCATGTCTCATGGATATTTAAGACTTGCATTAAGGAATGTTAAAGAAGTGTCTGTGGCATTTGCTACATGGCATATCTTATCAGTACCCATTGTGTACCTACAAGAGAGACTACAGATCAGAGCTATAGGACCGGTTGTGCTATCCCAGCTGCCTGGCCAGCATCCTTCTCTTTCCCCTTCCAATCCATACTAATATCTTTGTTTAGGTGTCTTCACTCTTGACAGCCCATGTACTTCATAGGAACATGCCCCACCCTCCTCTCAGTTGTGACAACAGATCTTCTGTTCATCTGGTCAGTTATTAATTCAGAGAGAGAGAGACATGAGACTGAAGTAGCCAAATAAGTGTAAATCTCAGACATGTTTGGAGAGCTGGGACAATAGTGTACCACTCATCACAAACATTAACAGAGAAACCCAAGATTCCTGGCTGCCCTGAGGTTACATGGGAGAAAACTAGTTTGTGAGCACCAGAGAGGAAACAGAAAGAACCAGTTTCCTGTGGAAACTGCTAATACGTTTTGAGCTGACGGACTCTCTGTTCGGAAGTCTATGCATCAGATCTTCCAATTCCTTTGCCGAAGCACTGTAACAGACATACCACTCCCTAAACTGTCATCAGCTTGAGCTCGTACCTCAATCGTTAGGATCAGAGGCTCCAAGTCCTGGTAAACCACCTTCACTTGCTTCGCCGCTTGCTTTGCCCGTTTCTCAGAATCTGCAATCACGGCACAGACGAGATGGCCCACGCAGTGTACCTGTGGCACAGAAAGGAGGACACACAACGGACAGACTCCTATCATTTGCTGTGGTCCTCTCTCCCATTCAGAGAGGAGTAAAGCTCTGCTTGTGTGGGGGTAGACTTCAGAGGACAGGTATCACATGCAGCCCAGAACTCTCTTGTTTAGTTAACACTTAAAGGCCATAGTTCACATTGCCTCTGCCAGCGTACACAGCCCTGCCACAGTGAGCCTGGATCTTGACTTCAGACTTGGGAGAGTCAAGTTTTCAGCCAGGGAGAGCCAGAGGTAGTGGCTATTTAAAGTGATGAAGTTCCTTTGGATAGAGAGTGGACTGAGATGCGCAGAGAACTGAGTCCTGCCTTTGTTGTGTTGCAGGATCTAGTAGCCAAAGTTGATCATTTGAAACTTTCTGCGAGTCTCTGTTAGAACAGCTCCTCTTGGTCTCACTGTCGTATGGGAAGCAGTACATGGAATATGTACATAAACTAAGCATGAGCCTGCACTGCAGGAATTGCAGTAGGGAGGGGAGCATACACACTTAGAACAAGAGGAAGGGCTGGGTCCATTAGGCCTTCTCTGGAGTGGAAGTTGTGGTGAGGGCAAGGCCCACACCTCTTTGCTGAGCTTATTTTAAAATTCCAGGGGATATATGAAAGAGTGAACGAACAATTCAGACTTCAGAGAGGGAGAGAGGACTTTCAGATTAAGAGACTAGGAATGACTTCACACTGGAGAGGCTAACTGAACTCAACTTGAGCTTGGGACACCTTGGGATTGGGTAAGCTAGAGGTGCTTGGGTGGAGGGTTCACAAATTTATCTATCAAATTTATAATTCTCTGCCCATGTATTCTTTCACACTTTTTAGCAGCATAATGTTACAACTTGACAATATAAGACATCAAAGTATCAATCTGTCTTAAAGACAGCACCTCATGTGTCCCAGGCTAGCCTCAGACTCTTTGTGTAGCTTTGTCCTTTTCCCTCTACCTCTCAAGTGCTGGATTTACAGGCATACACAACCATGTGCAGTGTATGTAGTTCTGGGGATGGATCCCAGGGCTTCCTGCACACAAGGCAAGTATGCCAACAACTGAGTCCCACCTCCAGCTCTGAAAACAGCTTACATCACCAATCAACTGTATTCAAGTGGGAAATGAATAAACTTGAGTTCATGTCTATTAGAATATTTGTGGTTTGTGATTACTGCTAAAAGAATACTGAACTCTTTGTGGTATGACAAATTAAATACTATGCCTATGAAAATACGAGGAGCCGGTAACTGGGAAAGTTGTTCAGACAGACAGCAAGAAGGCAGTACCTCATCTGTGGCCAGAAATGTCTCTGTGCCAAAGCTGTTTGCTTCCTGAAGATGACTTGCAGTAATGATGTCCACCACACCTGGCAGGCTGAGCGCTTCTGACAGATCAATAGACCTATGGGAACATATCAGACGGCTCACAGAACAGCCACACAGCCCAAAGACACTGCAAATGTGGCAGATGGAAACTAAGGACTGTCAGAGAATTAATCGCTTTGACAGTCGTCTGCCAGGCAGTGGAAGAAGCCAGGGTACCGTAAAGTTACTCATGCAAGATTTCGTGAGGAATCCTACATTTCAATGCCATTTCATCTCTAGTCTGGGTGCCCGTTAGCCTCCATTCACCCTGCTCTTCCTTGACAGGACAGAGTCAGAGAGCAGAGAGAATCTTCTTCCTACCTGTGCGGGAGGACACTTACACAATCTTAGCGTGTGCTCTTGAACTCGTTACAAAAGTCAGGAAAAGCTCCTGGTCTACCGCAGGCATGTCGTCACAGTAGACGGCCTCACCAGTGGCATGCTTAATACCAGAGAGGTGCATGATGGGACGCCCAATTGGGTCCTGAGGAAGCTGCGCTGGGTCTACATTCTGTTTAGTGAAGAATCAACATATAACTCATATTTCTACAGAGATCATCGTAGGAATAATCACAGAATGTATGTCTCCCACCAGAAGGTAGCTGTGTAAACTCATGCTTAAGCCAGAATACTTTTGAGTGTGAAAATAGTCACTCATTTTCACTACTCCAGACAGCTTATGAGAACAATTTGGCAGTCAAATTGAAATGTATAAGCTGGGCGATGGTGGCGCACGCCTTTAATCCCAGCCCTTGGGAGGCAGAGGCAGGCGAATTTCTGAGTTCAAGGCCAGCCTGGTGTACAGAGTGAGCTCCAGGACAGCCAGGGCTACACAGAGAAACCCTGTCTCGAAAAACCAAAAATAAAATAAAATAAAATAAAATAAAATAAAATAAAATAAAATAAAATAAA